ATGTGGAATATAAATGTCTTAACACAATAACTAAGAAAATGACATGAAGGCTATGTTAACCAGTTTGATGAAAATATTTCAAATTATATATAAAAACAGCACACTGTACCCATGACAGTACTAATGTACACAGCTATGATTTAATTTAAAAAAAAAAGGGTAAATAAAACATCACTGACATTTAAACAAAATAAATAAAAATAGCTGGGCATTGTGGTGGGCACCTATAGTCCTAGCTACTTGGGAGTCTCAGGCAAGAGAGTCACTTAAACCCAGAAGTTGCTGTGAGCTATGATGTAATGGCACTCTACCATGGGTGACAAAGTGAGACTCTGTCTCAAAAAAAAATAATAAATAAATAAAAATAAATTGGTAAATTTGGCAGGGCGTGGTAGCTCACAGCTGAAATCTTAGCACTTTGGGAGGCTAAGGCAGGAAGATCCCTTGAGCTTATGAGTTGGAGACCAGCGTGAGCAGGAACAAGACCCTGGCTCTACTAAAAATACAGAAAATAAGCCAGGTGTTACCTGTCATCTGAGCTACTTGTGAGGCTGAAGCAGGAGGATTGCTTGAGCCCAGGAGTTTCAGGTTACTGTGAGGTAGGCTGATGCCACAGCACTCTAGCCTGGGGAACAGAGTGAGAGTCTGTCTCAAAAGATCAATGAATACATTTAATAAATCTAATTCAGGTGTTTTTCTTTATGGATTAAATTATATAGCTTTGAGGTGAGAAAGGGAGGAGGGCTAGGGTAAACCCGTACTAATGGGTGCAATTCACTTATCCTGCGTGAAGGACACACAACATTGACTTCAAATGTACAAATACAAATTATGTAACCAAAATGTTCATATCTCTGTAATACTCTGAAATAAAAAATAAATTAAATTATCTGGGTTTTCCATTAAAATAATTATAGTATACCTAACTCTGTATTTCATATTTTTTTACAGTGAAATTAAACATGCTATCTAATGATCCCCTTGTGAGAGTCTATTATTTGCACTGTTGTTTAAAAAGTGCTTGTCTGCATGAATGTTGTAGGCTTTAGAATCAAATACCATACAATAGTGACCAGTTTAAATATTGGCTAGAATCAATATTTATAATTTCATCTGTGAAATATTATAATTTCATCTGTGAAATGATACTAAAGGATCAGCGTTTGATTACATTACTGAGTCCTTACATAGAAGGAAGCAATTACTAAAGACAGTCAATAAGACCACACTCAATATTCTGTGAGGTTCTAAGATCAGTGGAGAATGAATTATTGGATGACCATATCACATTATTATTGGAAGGACTTGGGTTATTTCTTTTTTTTTTTATTTCTTATAGCGTAACTGTGTACATTAATGCAATCATGGTGTACAGTGTGCTGTTTTCATATACATTTTGAAATACTCTCATCAAACTGGTTAACATAACCTTCACGTCATTTTCTTAGTTATTGAGTTAAAACGTTCATACTCCTCTTTTAGAAAGATTCACTTGTACCCTTGTAAGATAAACTATAGAAATGACCCCAGCAATCACCCTCCCTCCCCCGATCTGCTCCCTTCACCTCCCCCTCAGGTTATTTCTTGACTTGATTTTAATCAACTGCCTCTGTTTGAATTAGATTAAAGAGGATCTTCCTGAAACAAAGATAAAATTCTCACTTGCTGAGACTCCTGAGAATGACAACCAGTTTTCAAATGTCTCCTGTTCATTTCAAGTGAACTCAAAAGTCACTTACAAGCTACAAAAAGGACACGCACTTATCACCTTTGAAGAAGAAGAAGGTATGACTAATGTTAAAAAATATGACCATGATATTTGGAAAGCACTTGGACTTTCAAAGACCTTTTGTATTTGGTTATTACTTCACGATTTGTACATGTGTCATTTCTTCTCATCCTTGGAGTGACACTCTGAGGCATATCTGGTAATTGCCATTTTACAGATGAGAACACTGACTCTGAGACATTAACCACCTTGAGTATGATCACTGATTCAGACAAGGATCACGCTGGGACTCCGGTCCAGGTGTTGTGATTTCCATTACCAGCCTCTTCTACTCCACGTGCTACCTAAAAAGTGTAATGATATTAATAATGTTTCAGGGCAGTATGCCCATTTTATACTTGCATACCTCCGTAAACACAGAGGATAAGATAGTTATTATTATTATTATTTTCAGTTTTTGGCCAGGGCTGGGTTTGAACCTGTCACCTCCGGTATATGGGGCTGGCGCCCTACTCCTTTGAGCCACAGGTGCCGCCCAGATAGTTATTATTTTATACATTAAATATAGACATTTTATAGCCAAGAAAACAGATTCTGAGGATGTTTAAGAAATTCACCTAAAGGAATATAGCTAGTGAATGGAAGGAGCTGGAGAGTTGGCGATTTGGGATGTGATCTGAGGTTTACTAAATCTGCCAAGGTGATGGATGGTCCTTGCTCAGACCTGGGGTTGCTTTTTTGAGGAGGACTGGACATTGAATGCCAGCTTCGTCCCTTCCTGGAAGCCTGATTCAGAATGGGTACATTATAAACCTTAGGCTTTTATGACAGGCATTTTGTGATAGTACCTCCTTCATGAGGCTGCTTTGAGTATTAAATGAGAATTGTTGACAGAACAGCACAGTGTCTGACACATAATCAGTGTTTCATAAATGTTAGCTGTTCTTATTGCTATATATTAGGAATTTTCCAGGTAAAGTATCAGAAGCTTAGAGAAGATGAGTATCTTGCTCAAGGTCCATATGGTTAATAAGTTGCCGAGCTGAGAGCCAGCTCCTGAGTGCCCATGCACTTCCCACTGGACCAACGTTCCTCTGAGCAGGCCACTGTTCCCAGGCCTTTGTTCTCACATTTGAGTTATGGGGTGGGACCACGTGGTCTTCACAGCCCTTCTAGTGCTCAGATTCTGAGAACCTATGATTGTCACTCACCTCTCCTGAAAACTGCTCCTTCCCTGTAGCATAAAAAGAAAAGTTGAAAGGCATTCCAGGAAATCAGTATATTCACTGACAAGGCATTCTTCCCCAGCGGGCTTTCCTCTACTCCCAGCCACTGCCACAGTGGAGGGTGGAAGAGGAGGCCAAGGGCAACGTTGATGGTTGGCTGTGGGTGTGGGGATATAACCGAAAGATGTAAAATGTTAATGAGGCTTTGGGAGGCAGAATTTCTGAACAGCAATTACCTGGGAGTGGTGGGAATGGGATTCTTTTCAGAAACAGCTATGTCACTGGTTCTGCCTTTGGCGTGGCTCTGAGGTCCTGATCTCCTGGGATAATGGGATAGGTTTAAGTTAAAGAGGAGTTGGCTTTTGATTGTCAGAATCATGATAATTAAAACACAGATGATCTTTCTCAGCTGCGTCAGATCACCAGATGTTGGGGGGTTTTCAGGGGAATGGAAGGAAAGGAGGATCATCTGAGTATTACTCATTGATATTTTCTGTTATTATTGTCGGTTGTCATTAGCAAAAAAAAAAAAAGTCATCCAAGTTGTAGAGTTATATTGTGGTACAGAGAATTGAATTCCCACAAGAAAATGCCCTGTCTGGCACTGTTTCTCTCTTCCAGCTGTGGTGTGCTATCTGGTTGTCGTAAACACATGTGAAGTTTATAAGATAGAGTGTGAACATCCCTTATCTTCAGGATAAGTTAGAATAGCAGCTCCCCAGATCAACAACTGAAGTGTTATAAAGTCCTGTCACACAGTTCAAAATAAATACCCACCCACGTACATTTCAAATTGATATATACTTGGTCTTTGGCTTCCTAATGACTTTCGGCACAATTATATTACCGAGCCTTTCCTGTTTGTATGTATATATTAGACTTGACAGCTCTGTGATTGGGATAGTAGGACTACCAGCTTTTTAAAGAATGAGCTCAAGAGCATTTTGGCAAAAGTAGGATTCCTCAGTAAATATGGCCAAAAAAGGATTCTTTGATAGGTGGTCTTTAATTTGTAATTCTTGAGCAGACAGAGATGAAAATGGATATATTCCTGTGGGACTCGTAACGTATGAAGGAGGAATGACAAATGATAGAAGTAAGTAAAATTAAGTGTAAAAATGACATTTAACCACAGAAGTTTTCCCAGCTTACTCAACACGGAAGAATTTCTGGCTGTACATTATTGTCCTAGGGGAATTCTCTGGTGATGCTGTCAACAGTGGAAAGAAAGGGTGTGTGGCTGAACTGAAATGATACATGAATTGGAGGATTATAAGGCTTATCCCTTAAGATTGATAAGAATTTCTATATTGCAATTTTTGCCAATGTGTTCCTTTTATTGTTTTTAATTAAAATCATAACTGTATACATTTATGGGGTACAATGTACTGATTTGATATACAACATGGAATGTTTAAATCAGACTAACATAGCCATCACC